CACTAATTTGCCATGTTTAATTTTTTTAGTAAGAAGTTTGAAACTTCGGGTTATCGTTCCTGGTCGCACTTAATCCACAAATATAGAAGTCATTGATGCTGCCKACATCAGTTATCGTTTTTAAATAAAAATTAAATTAAAATAGAATTAAGTAGCAGCATGTAAGTCCTCTTAGAACTATTCAATATAACGTTAATGTAAATAACAAACGATAAGGTCTTTACTGACAAAGTCTTTACTGAACATGGCGAGCCGCARACCCTAGATAAATMCTTTCGGGTGCACTGAAGGCATCCGAAATCCCAGCAGGGATGCATAGCTTTCCTTTGTCCTGCAGCACGATCCAAGTATCACCTTGCATGTATATTTTGGTTCGATAGACCAGGAACATGCCTTSTACCTGTCATCGGAGTGTTTGAAACCGAACTCTGTATTTGTGAAAATTAAATCAAAAAGTTTCTGAAAAAGCCTTAAAACGATCGTTAAACGATCTTTACAGCAATRTYAGAACTTTYTAATCCACTGTCACACACACACTAATAACAAAATAAATACCCCCAAAAAACTAAGACTTTACAGCATCATAATTCACTGATATAATAAACAAATTGGCTATGTGAGCGGTAGCCGCTCAAACTTCTTCGATATATGGACTCAGGTCACTTAAGGCATGGGTCCAATACCAAAAATCAGCAAAAATATAGAAAAATATTCATAAAAAAATAATCATATCAGGAAAAACTTTGAAATTTTGAAGTATGGTAGGTGGTTGGCAACTTAACACAGTGTGATCGAATTGTGCCCTTTGACCCTAAACGTGACGTCACAATATGCCAAATATTCAAGAAAATTTATACCTTGCTTTCAAGCTCCGGGAGCTCGTGCAGCTATCACGAATTGTCGTTCTTTTGCTCTCAAATGATTCACTAGGCATTATATTGAATCAATCCAATTCGAGAAGTTGTCAGTAGAAGGAGTTTATTGAAATTAACGTGAGAATGTCTATTATTATCAATATTTGTCGTGAACATGAGCAAGTTAGGCTGAATTCTGTTCTTAAATCCTTACACAAATCAAAGGTTCGAATTAGTTCCTTACAATTAACTTATCCAGGATACTATTTATCGATTTATCCCTATAAAATTAAGCAATACCGCTCTCTCCCAAGACACTTTTTAAATACTATGCGAGCATTTTGAAATATCATGCATTGGCGATATGTGCGCCCGCGGTGCAGTTAAATACTGAACAGCGAATACTGGTATCCAAGCAAATTAGCCAATCAAATCACAGGAAATTGGTCGTCAAGGGACGAAAATACAACATGGYGGACGAAGTTTAGCGGTTCGACGAAGACTTTTGAAGAAATAGTAAGATTTCAGGACGTTGCTAAAGAAATATATGCTAAAAAAAGGAAATTTTGAAAATATAAGCAATCGATTTTGCTATCTGTATACAATTTAAGATTAATAATAGTCTAAAAAMAGTTAGATAGATAGAAATTGATCAATAAACACTGAGGTTTCGTTATTCTTTGCTATAATTCTAGTTTGTTGCTCATCATATCATGCTTTGCATAGACACTTAGGAATTTTGATTGCTAATCAAGTATAGAATTACAACAATATCCTGTTATAGTTTTGGCGCAAAATTCAAAACGGTGAATCAACCAGAGACGTGAACATTGAAATATCGAAAATCGCGATCTGTAAATAATGTGTACATTTTTAAATCTAAAAACGTGTGGTTTTGGAAAAGTAGCTTCTTTGYATGCTGCTAAAGAAGCAAAAAAATTGGAGCGAGAGATAAACGAAGGAATAGCAAAATATGGCGCGAGAATGAAGCAGGAGCAGTTTCGAATCTTCAAGACGATCTTCCACAAAAGGGAAGCTGAATTTAACGTTGATTTCAAGAGATTCAACATAAATTTCAAAGCTCTCGAAGAAGCAATTAAAAAATGGAGTCCACGAAAAAAATCCGAGCGAGAAGAGTATCTTWAAGTGTTTTCTGTTGATGAATGGAACCAACTCTCCGATGCAAAGAAGTGTCAACACACACTCTATGACTGTAAAGGATGCCACCATAACTTCCCCCAGGTCCAGTCYTTGTTTCCTGTTCGCTCGCCGAGATTGAAAGCMAAAGCTTCAGAAAATCCATTCTTCCTTTGCCGTAATATTCAAGGAAAAGCAAGTCAAATTCAACTGAACAAGKCTGAAATAAAGGACACTGCACAAAGTTTATATAAATCGATCAATAGTGCATTTCAGAGCATATCTGGTGGGGTGCCATTTGCTGAAGCCCTTACTAAAGTCCCTGAAACCAACCTAAAAATGAAACAAACAAAGTATGAAGCCAAAAAAGTCAGGAGACAGCTAATTAAAGAAACCAAAGAAAATATCGAACAGCAATGGAAAGAATCTTCCCTCCTTAGGTAAATATATTTTAAAATTAATATTCAATATCTTTTTATATTTTAATTAAAAGTATATAAACTTAAGTGAAAAGCAACCCCAAAAAACAACAACATGTGCATAAGAAAATAATACCCAAATAAAAATATAT